CATTTTTCACAAAAACGGGCCTGTTACCCCCTAAAAAGGCATGAATAGCCTTGGAGGGCTTGCAGAGGGCTCCTGGGGGGTGGGGTGGGGGGCAGAAATGAGCAAAACTGGCCCATTTTTCACAAAAACGGGCCTGTTACCCCCTAAAAAGGCATGAATAGCCTTGGAGGGCTTGCAGAGGGCTCCTGGGGGGTGGGGTGGGGGGCAGAAATGAGCAAAACTGGCCCATTTTTCACAAAAACGGGCCTGTTTCCCCCTAAAAAGGCATGAATAGCCTTGGAGGGCTTGCAGAGGGCTCCTGGGGGGTGGGGTGGGGGGCAGAAATGAGCAAAACTGGCCCATTTTTCACAAAACACGCCCATTTTTTGTCAAAACATTTGCATACATAGCCTTATGAAAGCTTATAGAGTGCTGCTGGGGGCTAGGGGGAAAAATGCCCTGTTTTTTCCTCATTTCTGCCCTCCCCAGTCCCCAGGAGCTCTCTGAAAGCCTCCCTAAGGGTATGCATCCCATTTTGGTGAAGGGGTAGGGCTTCGGGAGGCAAAAAAAAATATTCAGCCTCTTTTTTTTTTGAGGAAAAAGGTGCATCTTATACTCTGAAAAATATGGTAATTCTATACTTTTTATTTAGACTTACTGACTAGTGGATTTTATTCCCATTTAATAAGTATAGGTTTAGAGCTTTAAAGTACTTGTATTTCTATAAGTGCCATTGGTTTCAGAATGTGCAGTTTAGCTAGGTTAATATCCCAGAATTATCTATATCAGGGATGTCAAACTCAAGGCCTGGGGGCCAGATCCAGCCCATAGGGAGCTTAGATCTGGCCTGTGGGGCCACCCTAGAAACAGTGAAGGACCAGCCTGCGATGCTTCTTCAAGCAAAAATGGAGCTCGAAAGGGCTCTGTTTTCGCTGGCAGAGGGTTCCAGGAGGCTGTCACAGCCGAAAAGGGAGCTCGGAAGGGCCAAGGCTCTCCCAAGCTCCGTTTTCACTGGCAGAGGGCTTGGGCCACCACAGGCACCCCAGGTGACGTCAAACTGGCCACACCCACCCTGGTCCCCCAAGGTCAAAACAACCCTGATATGACCCTCAATGAAATCAAGTTTGACACCTCTGATATATATTAATATTCTTGACACCATTATCTATTTCACAGGTAAATATAGTTGAATATGATAGGTATACTTTGAAAAGGTATCAGTTTTAACTAGTTATGCATATTATGTATCTTTGATATATTATAGATTGATTATGGACGAGGTGCCCAAAAGCAGTAATAACAATTTATCAACATCTCCACAAGTAGCATCTTTACAAGGTACCACTCTACAGGAAGCTCAACTTTCTCATGTTTCTCAACAGGTAAAAATAGCTACCTATGACCAGACCCATGAAGGAGTTTTAACTAGGCTACTGCAGAATTTTCCTTTCTGTTGTTTGGTTTCTAAATAACTTCAATAAGTATGTATACGATCTCAAAGGGTTTTAGGCAATCCTGTGCTTCCAGAAGAAAACTCAAAATATATACAAATATACTATAATAACCAAGATTAACTTCAAACCAAGAATCAAGTAAACAATACCCCAATCAAGAAACTTCCAATGAGACATCAGTAAACAGCCCAACCAAAAGATCTCTAAGATCACACCCGCACACACAGACCCAGCAAATCACCAGAATATAAATTGACAGCAAACAGCACTCCTTACTACAGTAGCACTGATCATGTTACCAAGTTAGGGTAATGAAACATTTGCAAGAAAACAAGAAAACTCACAGAGCACCAAGGACACCCCACCCCCCCAATATACTATAATATGTTTGCACACCCCATAATATCTGCACGCTCATTTTCTATAAATTTTAGAAGGTCCATCTAGTTCTGGTCCATCTGAACTAGTTTACCGATGAAATGGAGAATTGGTTTTCTTTGAACTATTGTTGAGTATACTCAATACTTTTAAAAACCTAAGCTTATAATTTAAAATATTTCTGAAAAGATGTCTTCAAATATCAGAATCATAAATATGCTAAGCCTCAAAAATTGTACATTGCAATTATTGTGATACTTGTTTAAAAATTTTTGCTTCCAAGAAACTATCTACTTCTTGCATAATTAATAAAATTACATAGAATCATAAGGTCAGGAGGATGATTAGAAGCTTTATAGCCTAACCTCCTGTTTAAGCATGGTCACATCCATGTAGTTTTCTTGGCAACAGTACAGATTTACCTTTATTTTCTTCTTCAACTTTCCAATAAGATTTTCTTGTTCAAGTATTACCAGGCCAGTCATATTTAATTTTCTGAAATCAACTGGAGTTGGCTAGGCTCTGCCATCTGTTAAAGCCTTCAGCAAATATGTCAGGAGGAAAATAATGATGCATCAAAAATAATGCAACATCAAGCACTGACATTATATTGTCTCCACTTCTTTTTATGGAGATTATTCATGTGCTTAAGATAGTTTGACTAGAATAGAGGTGCACTATTTATATTTTCTCATTCTAAAATTAGTGTTATAGGGCCTGCTGCAAATTCTTTAAATTTAAGAAATACCCAATAAAATTTAAACAGCAGCACAATAGTATCTATGAAACTTAAGCAAGTGGTTGTTTTTTTATGTTTTTATAATTTTACTAGGCTTATAATGCTAGGCTTATAATTTATGGTTGGCTATGAGCGATTTATATCTCTACCATGGGCTAACAGGTTTACAACAACTAAAAAAATAGAGCCAGATTAAAAATAAATATTAATATACATGAATTGAACACAGTAATAATAAAATATTCCTATGCCAAGGAGCCATAAAAATCCAGAAATATGCACATATCCCTCTAAAAGTCCGGTTGACTTTGATTGCTTCCTAAAACTCAGGAATTTTGGAACAAGGTTATATTTTTATGTTTTCCTGTATGTAATGATTTAATGGAAGAGCTTCTATATGAGACTATGGATAGATTTTAGTTTGCTTTTTGAAACATGGAGTGTAAGTAAGTTATTAGATTTAGTAAATGAGATTAGCAAATACTGAAAGCTGGCAAAGATGATATCTGCTGTACATATAGTTCTTAGAATACATTCTCAGAATTAAATTTGTTTAAGTGGTGTTTTTTTTAATGTTTCAATTGCACATCTGATTTAAGGAATATTAAGTCTCTGGAAGTGGCTGCTAAACTGAAGGCAAATTTCCCCTCCCCCTCCTTGTTCTCTTCTCCCTAAACATCCATCTTTTTGGTTATCATATTGATGTATTATCTTGTGTTCCTTTGTTGTTGTTTATTTTATTATTTTACTTCCATTTGCATTCCTTTCCTTTTCTTCCTTTCTATTATTAAGCCTCCTAGAGCAGTGGCCTCCAACCTTTTGGGCACCAGGGACCGGTTCTGTGAAAAAAGGCTTTTCTGTGGACCGGAAGGGGGGTGGTTTTGCATGCTGCTTGCATCCTGTGGATGGGACTTTGCTTGTTTGCACAGCCTGGTTGCTGTCATGCTGCGGCCTGCTGCCGGTCCATGGACCGGGGGTTGGGGAACCCTGTCCTATCTCACCCACGGTGAGATAGGTGGCAAAAAAATTAACAAATAAAATAAAAATAATAAACTAGCATTAAGCTCTGCTGTGTCTCAACTGAAATCTTATTTACATAAGAACGTTTATTTATTAATTATACTTTCCATTCCATTGATTGTGAATATGGATACTAAACTATTTCTTTCTCTTAGATGTCTCTTAGAGGTCCAACTCCACTAACAGTGGTACATCTGTCTGGAGATCAGGTTCAGGGAGTCATTCACACAGCTCAGACCTCCTCTGTGATTCACTCACCACAAGGACAGTCAGTACAGGTACATTGTTCATATCCATATGTAGCTTATTTTCAGCTTTTACTATAAGTTTGCATTTATACATTTGATTTAAAAAAGATTTCCCTCGAGTCAAGTTTGAATTCTGCTGAGTTTATGGACAAGTTTCGTGTATAATATTTTTTTTCCAGCAGTACAGAAATAAAACTTAAATAGCAAAAGTCTTTATAAGCAATTGATGGTTAATTGCATTATTTATAAAAGTGAACATTTATTTATTGGTTGGTTGCTTTATAACAATATAAGGTCAATACTTTGTCCATCTAATGAGAAGAGAAGGGGACAGCAGAGGATGAGACTGTTAGAGTCATTGACACAATGAACATGAATTTGGGCAAACTCTGGGATATAGGGGAGGATATGGGGGGGGGCCTGTCATGCTATGGTCATATACCTAATAAATTATCAAAGCTGTATAATGGTGGGTCAAACATATGTTGGAAACGTAATCACTCTGAAGGTACTTTTTACCACCTTTGAGCATGTAAGAAGGTTAAGCGTTATTGGAATAAATATGTACTTTAATCCACAAAATTCTTAAAACAAAAGTACAATTGAAACCAGAGATTTTTCTTTTAGGTTTGATGGATAAGCATTGGGAGAAAAAAAACCATGGGACTTTATTTTTATATATGATAACTGCTGCAAGACTTGAACAGAGATGGAAAGATTTACAAATTGCCCCAATGGAAGAATGGATAGTGAATTTAATGGAACTGGTTGGCGAAATTGACCACCTTGATTAAAGAAAAGTTTTTGTCTAACTTTGTTTCTGTGTGAAATCACTTTTGAACTTTTTTCTGGAAATTCAAAGAAATGCTATATTAATTTTGGGATCTGATGATTATAATTGTTGATGATTATATAAATAATGTATATTATTGAATTTTATATCAAGAGGTTAATGTATTTTATATTTGTAATTGTATTGAGGAAAACTGAAAGTTATCCTCCTATTTTTCTCTTTTTTTATTCCCTTGTAAATTCCCCTTTCCAATTTTTTGCCTTCTTAACTCCATTATATATATATATATTGTAGAAAATTAATAATAATTTAAAAATTGAACTGAAACTGATTTGCAAGTTGAATTAAAAATTACAATTTATAAGAAGATGGAAGAAATGGATTTACAAGTAAATAATTCAATAATTGAAAAAGTACTAATAACAAACCAGATGAGTGATCTGGATTGTTTTCTTATATTGAATTTACAAGAAGGTTTTACTGGAGTTGCTACATTGGAAGTACAAAAGGGACGATAAAGATGAAAACAAGAATTTTGGGATAAGAGGAGAATGTATGAAGGCAGGGGATAGAACTTTCATTGAAGAATTGCTGTATATGTATTATAATCTTTTAATAAAATTATTGGGAAAAATAATTGTACCTATTTTAATGCTAACACTGTATTGCAATATAACTAATTTGTTTTAAATCTTTTTTGTTTGTTTGTTTGTTTGTTTGATCAACATGAGACAGCTCCAATCTTTTTCCTTTGGATCTATACATAAAGGGACTGGAATCCATAATCATTTTGCAGTCCAGTTTCTAGTTTAAAAAACAAATAACACTTTTTTTATAATACATTTATTTACCCTAAGCATAATTTTTTTGTGAAAATTTTGAAAGGCTGCTGTCATTTGTTAAATTTTAATGGTTATACCTGACATAGAAGAAATGGTGTATCATATTGTCTCATATAACATTCAACAAAATGACAGTTGATTTCTTTCAGGTGTCATTATCAGAGAATGATGATTCACAAGACTCTTCGGATAGTATGGACTCTTCCCAAAAAGCAAGAGGTCTCTTAGCACGCCGTCCATCATACAGGTCTCTATTTTATACCAAAATATAATTTCTTCTCTGAACTGTTCTAGAATTATTATGGAAAATAATATTTCCTGGCAAATTTGGATTCTTTGGGGAAAACATGGAAGAATACCAATTATTTTGGCCTCATCTATACTAGCCAAATGGCAACAAGACATGATCAGGGACATAGTTTTAAAATCATTTTTGGAATGGTTAAATTCCCTTAGGAAATGATGAGCAAGCACATCAATTTCACTACCTGCTAAAGACTGATTAGATAGTGTCTATTTTTAAAAAAAGCCTCTCAACAGGAAGAACCAATTAAGTTTCTTTAAATCAATGTTTCTTAAAGTATGGTTCAAAAACCCCTAGGGATCCCTCCTTTCACAGCTCCACAAAATCAATTATTTGCCCAGATATTGAAGATATTTGTAAAATTTTAAAACAATTTAAGTTTTTTTAAGCTCTTCTGATTATTTAAATGAATAATCAGCTCACTTATTTTTGACAGTTGCTCCCCTATGCTTAATGATTTGTAGGCAGTTCTGTAGGCATTTTTATTTTTTACAATTTTGCAGCCCTAAATGTAATAAAAGTTCTGTGTTGTGGTTCTTTCCAGAGAGGAGTACTTGCTGGTGACAAAACAACTAAAAAGTTATGGAAAGACTTCTAGTGTTTCTTAACTGCATGCATATTAGTTTTATAAAATAGTATAAGAATGTCAAACCAAACAATCATCAAACCAACTGAAACACCATTGTAATAATAGTTCTTAAATTTATACAGCCTTAGCAGCATTAACAACACTTTTTGTTCCCTGCTTCTAGAAAGGCTGAGAAAGGTTTGAAAAAGCAGCCCAGCCACAGGATGTAAGAATAGCCCAGTTGCAGTGTTTGGAATAGTCAATAAAACTATGCAGCGTTTTTCTTTCATGTTTTCAGCAAAACTTTCAAAACACATTGTTTTGTTTCATGTTCAGAACTTTCAACTATTTTGAGGTTAGAACATTTCAAGGTGACAGTGTTTGTACAAGTCTAGATTGTAGTACTTCCTGATAAAAAAGTCCCTGATAGGAGATGAATTATTTTGCACAATAATCTTTGTTCTGCAGTAGGGAAATGCAATAGGTGTCACTCTGAGTATTGAACATTGCAAATTTCTCTAGAACTTTTCCTGAATAGTAAGCTTAAGCATAGTGCATTATGGAGTTAGATTTTATTTCCGTCCTTCAGCATTTAACACTGAAGCCTCTGAGAAACTCATACCAAGACACTGACTTAGATATTCCAAAAAGGGGAAAAAAACAACAGAGGCTGCTATTCTTCATGTTCCATTTTCTAAATCTTGTTTTGAGTATGTGTTTGTGATTGGAAGCAAATAAGCAGATAACGTAGAAGAGAGTGGGATTTTCTTCTGGATCTTTTCCCACTGCTGTAACTTTTTCTCTAGCTGGCCAGATTACTACAGAGACTAAGAATGATCTTCAGTGTTACCTTATGTGATTCTTGGGGCCTTTGTGGGGGAGGGGGACACCCAGAATCATCTTAGTCATTTACCATGTAATCACGTCCCACTTAGATTATAGTAATATGCTATATACGGTGCTGCCTTTGAAGACTGTTCAACAGCTTTGGTTGGTTCAAAATATCAAAAATCATGTTTAGAACCAAATGTTTAGATTCCAAATGTTTGTTTCATTCTGTGAAGACCTAAATCATGTGAGGGAAATATTTTAATGTTTGAGAGCCACATGATGGCACAGTGATTAGAATGCAGTATTGCAAGCTAATTCTGCCGACTGCCAGGAATTCCGTCCTGACTGACTCAAGGTTGACTCAGCCTCCCATCCTTCCAAGGTGGGTAAAATGAGGGCCCAGATTGTTGGAGGCAATAGGCTGACTCTGTAAACTGCTTAGAGAGGACTACAAAGCACTATCAAGCGGTATATAAGTCTTATTGCTACCGGTTAAGGATCCTGAATTTTCTGGAGCCAACAGCCATAGATTGCCCATTTGTTTTGTGCCTAAACCTGAATTTTAGGGAGTCAGTGTAGTGTAGTAAATTGTTAGATGTGTGTCAATGGACATGTCTGTGTCCACTGGGTGAGTTTTGGCAGGCCCTTCTCTCTTTGAGTTTTACCTGGCCCAGGATGATTGTGAGGTTAAACATGGACCTCCTTCATGGTTGCTCTTTAAGTTCTCTGGAAAAGATGAGATGTGTGTTACAACAGCACCATACAGCAGTATCTCACAACTTCCAAGTTTGCCTGTGAGCTTCTACAAGAACTTCAGTCTGCTTCTGAGGCTGCTTAGACTTTCCCAGCTATTTGTTGAGATATTTTCAGTCATGGAATCTAGGCTTTAAAACTGCTTCCCAAGCAAATGCTGTCTTTCATACAATATCCACCTTCAATCTTTTTATTGCGTTTATTGTATTTTTCTATAACATATCCAAGGCAAAAGAATCCAAAAATATGCATCACTAGCAACCTTTTTAATGAACGGTTTTTAGTTTTATAAGGCCACAAAATATTGGGCTTTACTTCTCTTGAATTTGAAAAAAAGATAAACTGTGTCTAAAATTGTACATATTATAATAATCAATATAATAATAATCTAGCTATTTATTTAGCATGGTTTTTGTTTCTTCCAGCAGTTTATATCTGATACATTGTGTTGCTTTTTTATATAGGAAAATCTTTAACGATCTTTCTTCTGAGGATACAAGGGATAGGAAAGGAGATGAGTCGAATTCGGTGGTCACTTCAGTGCCTGTCACTACACCTGTTTATCAGACCAGCACTGGTCAATATAGTATGTATTAATTAATAAACTTCTACACTAGATAGGTTGCTAGCACCCCTGATTCTAATTCAGTATTACAATCTCTTCCAAAAATATTTATTATCAGAAAAACAAAGCAATAATTTTGGAAATGTTTCTAATTCAATAATTATTTATTATGAGTTAAAAATCATATTTTCCTCATACTAAATATTTATTCATTCAAAACATGTAATCCGACAAGCCATCTTTGAGAAAATATTTTTAAATGTACTTGTCAGTCAAAGATTACTTTATTACCTATTTTTAGGAAAGGGACTATATTTAATGGAATATTCCTGTGGGAGTGCCCAAAAGAAAAGAAATTTCTTGCTTATAATTGATTATCTTATGCTATGCTCTATTCAGCATCTTCCCTCTTTCGTTCTGTCTGGTTTTGAAGTTGCCATTGCCCCAAATGGACCGTTACAGCTGAGCAGTCCAGGTGCGGAGAGTGTCCAGGGCTTACAGACCTTCACAAATGCTGCTGGGACTCCACTATTGCAGTATGTGCAGACATCTGATGGCCAGCAGATACTGGTACCAAGTAATCAGGTAGTGGTGCAAAGTAAGTATCCACTTTAAATAATTCAAATCATTAATCTCTGAAAGCCACTGGGTGACCTTGGACTAGTCATTCACTCTCTCTCTCTCAGTCTAACCTACCTCACAGAGTTGTTGCTGCGGGGAAAATAGGAGGAGGAAGGGCGGGACATAAATAAATATTACTACCAGTCATTAAATGCCCATTTACGGCAAGGTTGGGCAGTTTCCAGTAGACTTTTGGTTCAACTCCCAAATCCCTTCCATGACTTGTTAGCAGAAATTGCTCATAATATTTAGCTTTGGCAATGAAGATGTATTCCTACAATGAAAGAAGGGCAACCTGTGGTAGATATTATTCTCCCAGTTGCTTTGGGAAAAGGGCTTTTGTTATTGTGCTACTTGTCTAAGGGGATTTAGCTCTTTTTCCAATTTTGGCTTTCCTTT